ATTTAATTTAAACATTTTTAAGATAATTTTTAAATCTAAGTACATACATACATATGCAAAATAATGCATATGTACACATGTATATAAATTCATATATGCAGCTTAGAAAAAATTTTATGAATACATTTCAAAAAACTCAAGCAAACGCTTATTAGGCTTAAAGTTAAAGCGCGAACATTTATTTAATTTCATGAGATCCTGTATAATTAAAATGTCTACTAGCATTTCATTATCAAACGATTACTTTGGATTTGAAACTATTTGGTAAACACATTATTTGTGGTACAAATCTTGAAAGAACCTGAAACGCCAAACTCTGTTCGGCTCGCTCTATATTGAAAATTATTTTCCAAAAGTTTTGTATGGTTAATGGTTGGTGGTACTGATATAAGGCCGAAAAATTAATCGAACTCTTCGTTGTTTATACAAACTCTAATTGTTTTTTATTGGTTAAGTCTATGGATTCGTCTATGAAGTGGGAAAATTTGTTTTCTGCAATAACTTGCATACCTGCTTAAACTGATGACGTCCAAGTACGTTTTTTACCACCGCTGTGGCTTTTGTTCTGCAACAACTCATTCCAACTGTAGTGTTTGAATCCTTGAGACTACCCTGCAAGAACAGTGACAAATCATTTGAGTGGCAAGACTGATAGAGATTTCTGTCACTGGCTACCTACAAGTGTCTATCAAATTCTAAAGGGCAGTGTGAAAAATCTGATGTAAATATTTGTGTACAAATTCTTCCGTCTTCCTCCAACTGATGGCCTTATTTTATGGTTTCTTTTTAACCAACGCAAAATTTGCATATGTGTTGGTAAGATAAATGAGAATTTGTTAGTTTCCATCACACAATTCTTGTAGGGTATGTGCGTGCCTGTTTGCAATTAAGAACCTTTTCACCAATTTACAGGCCTATTCTGCTTGTAACCGAACATTTTGTAACAGGCTAATTTTGTTACCAACAATTGTCACCACTTCTTGCAATCGCAATTCTATTTACCTTGGTAACGTTTTAATTTACTCAGCAATTCAGATATGGAGTTTTGTTGAAATTCTGGTGTTGCATATTTCACGGGGCAATATTTTGTTACCTGCTCATGAGATGGTAACAAAATTTACCGGTTACAAGAGTGTGGAGAATACGAAAAGGGTTTAAAAATTGACAGTAACTTTACTAACCGGTAACAAAATTTTTCTTACCAACGCAGAATAGGCCTGTTAGACTTTAATTGTTACCCAATTTATCATACAAAAATTCAAATTATTAATTGCCAATTAATAATTAATTGGCAATCTATTTGTGTCAGATTCTCTATGCCACCCTGCTAGGTATGTTTAATTTTGACTTGGAGGTATGTTTATTGAACAAAGAGCAATCAGCTGTTTGTTTCTGGTTCTGTTTTACAGCTGATATTCCATCAGGGATGGAAAATTGAATTATAAAATTGTACCTAATTTACGGAAAACTTTACCTAAAAGTAGATAGATGTATCTAAAAAGTGAATATGTATTTCTATATAAAGAAAAATAGTAGGATAACAATTCCCATCGATGCCATATCACCTTCGGTACTCACATTAAACAGATTTTTGGCTATGAAAAGAATCTCTTCGAGCAGTGCGAGACAAAACTATGTTGTAGAAAAGGTGAGTCACTTTCCTCCCAGTTGTTAGATTTGATTTGTTTTTAAGAAATATGTTCCGTCTATCTGGCGAAATCAACTAGAGTTGCGTTACTTTGACCACCATTCTGTATCATTTGTATGGCTCTTCACAAAGGAAGGAAGCTATTAGACCAGTTGCCCGCACCAGAAAACGCATTTCAATGTCAGTAAAAATAAGAACTGATTTCCTAAGAAACAATTTGGCTACGTTCCAAATGTACCTAAGATTGGTTGTTTTTACCGAATGTACTTTCAAACTAAATAAACTTTTCCATCACTGTAGGTAACCCAACAGCTGATTTCGTATCGCTAATTGGGCAGCTGTCGTATGTGTGAACACCAAACTCAATGCCGCAATTTAAAGCTTAATTATCTCAGCTAATTGTCCTGTTTGAACATAGTCTGAAACGCTCTTGTAGACATTTGGTTAGGTGGTCGGTTGTCGAAAATGCTAAATTACGCTCTGCTAAGAAGGAACATAGCAAAATTTCAGCCTTTTTTGCATACATTATACTTTCAATGAAGTCTTGAAAAAATTCGCCTACTTTTTTCTGACTTTTTATACTGCTACAAGTTTTTTTGGTGCTTTTGGGAGCGTGCGTGTTGCAATAGATCAGGCCTTCCTGAGTTGGCTTTTAATGTGAAATTGCAAACATCGCAATAAGCCTCGTAACCTTAAGCGTTTACACAAGCAGCCTTTGAACGCGGGATCCTTAGTACAAGATTTAAAAAAATAATGCGCGTACGCTTGGTTCGTATCATATTTAAGTCACCAGTGTCCAAAGAATAAATATCTTTCGAACCAGCAGCTGCAAAAAGCAAAGCTTGTAAGGATTTATTAAGAAAATAATTCAAAATCAGCTCTACTTACAAGATTTAGTAACAGATGGCCGAAAGTGTGAGCGTAAGTACTTACTCTACAAGCAAATAGTACGCTTTACACTGAATATATTTTGCATAAAGAAAGACTACTGGGAAGGTGAAAAACGTAATTTTTTACACAAAAATCGTCCAAACGTCAACAGGATAAAAAAACGTCCAAATGACGTTAAAAACGTCAACCTGGCAAGGCTGATGGGACCACCTCTGAGGTACCACCTTTCCTTTAAAAAAGAATTATCGAAGTCGGTTATGCTGTAACATACGTACATAAAAAAATATTCCGACGAATAGATAACCTCCTCCTTTTTTTGAAGTCGGTTAAAAATAATAAAAAAATACGATTTTGGTGTAAAGACGAAGTCGCATTTTAAAATTTGCATGCAATTAAGGTAACTAAAAAATTTGTATTTGAACTCTTCAATAAGTTCATAATAAACTTTATGCAATATGAATTCCTTTGTAGGGCTCTGTACATCTCAATTGTTACAATAACAAGTAATTTTTAAGCAAAAAACACAACCGACTTCAATTCTCATATACAAATATAGAAGTACTTAGTTAATTTCTTCATGATCCAATGATCGGATCTAAACCAAATTAATATGGGACCTCCTCTGAGGCACCGGAAAAAGAATTATCGAAATCGGTTAATGTGGTATTAATAAGGTAAATTTCTATATATTTTTAATAGCTATATTTTGATATTTCTAATGAAATTTACATAAAAAATGTTTTTTTGACTTCACTTCCTCTTCTTCTGGCGGTTTGAAAGTTTCCACAAGCGACTTCGGGCTAATGAGAAGCAAAAATTACTCTCTCAAAGTGGCTCTCAATAGCCCGAGAAGCAGCCAAAGAAATTCAAATTGGGCACTTGAGGGCACCTGCGAGCGAGCAAAATAACAGACTTATATAATGCTAGCGAGTCAGCTAATATCTGAATATCCATACTATAAACAATATCAGTTTTAATTAACGTAAATGAGAAGAGTATTTACCGTGTATGCAGAAAAATTTAGTGAGCATGGATGTATTTAAAACAGAAATATGAATAACCATAGACGTCAAAGACTTGCGCTCTATTTTTCCCGCTGGTAGTATGTAGTAAAGCCATAAAATTTTATTCAAATTAATTATAAAGGACCCTAACTCTACGCTCGAATATACATACATACATATATAGGTACATACATATGTATATCGAAATAGTTGCTTGTTGATGTTTAAAACAGAACATCCACAGTGATTAGTGACTTATCTTGATTGTTGTTTTTATGAAATATATTTATACATATAAGGAAATAGAAATGTACGTACATACATATGTACATCTGTATTTATATACACGTGTAAACAGACGTTGGGTAATTAAATAATAATGATTTGATTGATGACCAAATACAATTGAATTTAAGTTTTAATTTCACCGTTAGTTTTCGCAGTAAGTTTATTTTCCGTGTTAATCTAGGTGTGCTTCATTATACTTATTCGCTGTAAAATTAACTCGCTAATTTACATTGTGCTGTACATAGTAGTTATATACATTTGCATGTAAATAGATATATGACATATGTATGTTCATATATAGCATATTAGTAAATTTTTATTGGCGTGTCATGTAATTCTTGATTTTCTTTTAATATTAAAGGGTCAGAGCACACATACACATATTTGCATATACCTCACATTCTTTAAAAGTGTGTTAACTCAAAATTTTATATTTTTGATATTGATATTTGATATTTGATGTACATATGTATGTATGTACTTATATACCCAAATATGAATAGCTCATATGCATACATACATACATATGTAGTTTTAGTTAATATAAATTTTGATTTAATACAATTGCACATAAATACATATACAACCCAACTATCCCTGCAAAAATTGCGATTAATCCGGGATGACTCCGGGAGCAATAGCAAAGGAACAAGCGACTAATACCACTTTTTTGATCTCTTTCTATGTCCTATGAAGAGATTAATTGTCCCTTTTCATAATGGATCGTTATATAAAACGACTAGTCACTTTAAAAAAAAAAATTAAAATTCAAATTTGAGTCAGCTGCTATTCAAACCGGGGTTCTCAGGTTTGTTAAGGGATTGCCTTCTCAACATTCCAAGTCGCACATACATTTTTGTTGACTAACTGCGTACATATCATTAAATCGTTAATTGTCCCGTAAAAGACGAGTCGAGGCTAATTGATCTCCAATAATAATAATAGCTAATGCCCACTTGTACATATGTACTCGTCGCGATTTTTTGCAGGGTTATGATTTTTTTAAATAATTAATACATACATATGTATATTGTACTTTGTGGTAGTTAGCATGGTTGGTCTTTTCATTTTATTTCCTTTTATTTTAGTTCTTATTTTATTTTACTATACTTTATTTATTGTTTTATTTCCCATATTGAGTTTTTTCTGTTAATTTAATTTTCTTAAAGCAATGGATAGCGCCTTCAATTTTCCTGTTTTTTCTCCACCTTCGGCGCATCCGACTATCAAGGATGAACCAGGTTAGTCATACAGCAAAGATAGCTTATACAGAAATATACTCAAACATATATAGTAATCGTACTTACATATGTATTTTGGTTTATTTTCTCTTCTGCAGCCGCTTTAGAAATGCCTACAAGTACAGCGGCAATTGGCCAACAGTTTGATACATACCGCAACGCGTATCAATTATCGCCGTTATCGCAGATGTCGCCATTATCACCACAAAATCGCAATGCTACGCCATCACCGATCTCACCGGCCACCAACGGCGCAAATACAGAGCAATTGTGCTCTTTGCTGCAGGGCAGCACTCTTCAGACTGCCACAAATTGCCAAATGCATGAAGTTGTATTTAATCAACAAGAAAATCTAGGATTTGGCTATGAGGCTTCCAGTGTCAATTTCAGTGCCTATAACAACAATAGTAGCACAAGCTACACAACTACAAATAGTTACCTTGGTACTATAAGGAATACCACCAGTGGAGGGTGCTTTGAGCGCATTAATAATGTCAGCGCATGCGCTCCAGCGGCTTACAATGCGCCGATCGTCCAAGTGCCACAGGTACAACATCCGAATCCGATTTCTGAGAAGGAACGGATCGAAAGAATCAAAATGGATCTCATGCAAACACCAATGACGTTAATGCAAACGCCTCCACAGGCAACAACAGTTTCGCCTCCTCCTCTACAGAATGGTTGGCTTGAAAATGCCAATATTGGGTTCTTTCAATAAACTCGAGAGATACTATGGTGGTAATTTCTATATAAAGAACATCGACACATTTTTTTGTTAGTTTTTAAACTTATCGAACAAATATTTAAACATTTTTTGTACCTAAACTTATACAATTTAGATAGTTATTTTTCTGTATAAGCGTAAATATTTGTATTGATGTTCTTAGAAAATAAGATTTTCAAATTAATAAGTAAGTAATGCATATTTTTGCCAATATGTATCGTTAAAATTTATATGGCACATACTCTTATGTATAAGCAACATATGTACATACACGTGTATAAATATATGTATATAGATTTGTTTACATTGTGATAAATATGTACAAACATCATAAAGGTTTGAAACTAAATAAATAAATAAAAAATAAAAAAATTTAAATAAATAAAACGTTAAAATCAAGTAAAAAGCTTCGCTAATTGCCTTTCTCCTTTGCAGAGTTCCGCCAGTTAACACGAGGCAGGGGCGAACGTTGATAGGGATCTTGGGGGTTCAAAGCTTACGAAAGAGTAAAACTAATTGGACTCGAATTGCTTCTTTCATGTTCATGTTTTGCATGTTCAATATCATTTAAAGTTTCAACGTGAACGCGGTATTACTGATGCATATTTTGAGATAAAATTAATTTACCTATTTGGGAGAAAAAGTGTATGTATTTTCAATGTCCGTGAATTACCAAAACAAAAATTGCTACCTACCGAATGCATTCCGTAAAAATAACGAACTTTTTTAAAGCGAAAAATTCTGCCCGCCCGGCTGCCGAGTTGCACAAACTACAGTGCCAACCGAAAATTCTCCTGATGAGTCGGGGTCGTATTTGAGCACAGGCTACATAGGCGCTAGCCTAGAGGCCCGCGTCACAAGAGGGCCCGCGCCACATGAAAAATCAAAAAAAAAAAAAACAGGAAAAATTATAAAATGGTGGAAAACTTGTAAGTATATTTACAATTTCTAAGCAATGTAGGAGGCACTGAAGGAGAGTCAATCAAAAACATGTTTAGTTTAGTTAATTTTTTGCCCTAATCGAAGGAGATTCACATTGTAGTATAACGTAATTTTAGTACTAAATACTAGCTGATTTATTTTATTAAGCAAGGCAGGTAACTGGAGTACGCGTGCCACTGGCACAGCATAGGGATCAGGTTGATACCACTCACTCCGCCGGGCCACAGTTTCGATAGCCTTGATATAAGTCACTGTGATTACAAATCTGAGGTCTTACTTTGGGTAACTTTTGTACTTTCGATGAGTATAAAGGCCCCTCTACATATAACTTTCGCGTCGATTTGGAGTTCGCCTCGCTGGGTAAAACAGTGAATTTGTTAGGTCTGATCATTTGACCAGGGTAGCCCGGTTACCCGGATATTTTACCAGCCGGGTCTACCCGGGCATCGGAAAAAATGTGGGGAAGTAAAATTTAGGCGTAGTTACGATTATAATATACCACACACGAATATACAGAGGAAAATTTATAAGAATCCAGCTACCATATGGTGAAAAATTATATTATACATATCTGGAAATCTTTTACAGATCTTTTTTATATACATATCGGGGACATTTTGCGTACTGGCATATTATTGCCGCCACAAAGCAGCTGCACTGCCAAGTGCGATTTCTATGCCTTCGTTGATAATACTGATATGTGTACATATGAGTAAATAGTTATTCATAACAAAACAAACGGTTTAAATAACTAATTTACTTACTAAAATCGAGAAAATCATGGAATTTATAGTGCAACTCGCACAAAATCTACTTTTTATTTAGGTATAACTTCTTGAGCGGCCAATATTAAAGATTAGGGGTTTCAGACGTTATTTGTAGGTTCTGAGGAATAAAATGACAGGTATTAAACAAATGTGCCAGTTACAAAATGCGAGAAAAGAAGCTCTTCACAACTGTAAATGAATTTCGCGTAGTTTATAAAAAGCGAGAATTTTCTTGTGGTAGTCGTTGAGCGGTCATACTATGTTACATTTGTGGGTATAAAGTATTCCTCTTTACTTCTTCAGAAGAAGAATCCGAGTTTAAAGGACAATATACTACGTGTCACTGCTGAAATATCTTCTTGAGAAGACGCCTGATCAGTGCTTTATTTTTTTTACCTAATAATGGGTTTTCATTGAGCACAACCAACCAAAGGCAAACAAATTCATAAGTCCTGGTGTAATATTATATGTTTGTGTATTTGGGTCTATGTAAAAAATGCTCACCCCTAAATATTTTTTTATTGGTCAGTACTGGATAATCCTTACTAATATAAACTTAAATGGTTTGTTTGTTACGCTCTGACGCTTTAACTACTCAACCTATCATTAAAAAATTTCGAACTCTGGTCATTTGGCCCAACTTAAATTATAGGATAGCCTTTATCTCAATTAGCCAAAGCGACGTTGCACCTCCATACAAAAGGAATTTTTCATACTGCATACCTCTGGAAGTATTTCTGATAGAGTACTGGAACTTGGCATGGAGATATATGAAGTCAACACTATACTTACGGTGACCATATTTATGGCAGCGGAATACGGGACAAAAAATAATTTTGCCAATTTTTTCCACAAAAGCTAGAGGATTCTAGCTAGAGGCTAGAGGACCTCTTTCAATGATCCTAGATTTATTAGCCCGGAAACACCATATTTATATAACATATGTTTTTCATATCTTTTGTGAAACCAGAACATAAATAGTGAGTTGTATTATCTTACATTTGTATAACATGTTTCAATAACTTTGTAGTTTGTGCTGGGGATTTTTTCCCTGAAAATTTGGTACAAACATTTCTAGGCAGAGAAACATTATGGCTGCGTTTCTTTATACATTCCGGATAAACCCATTTCACAACCAGAATGAACAGAATGCCATTGAAATATACGTTTACATATCATCAGGAACGTTCTAAAGAATAAGTAAACAAAAAAGTTTATTCCAAACGTTCAGAATGAATAAAGAAATACAGCCTATGAAAATATCCGACGAAGCACGAATGGATTTCAGACTCGGATTTCGGCCAAGCACTAGGGTGACCAGATGAGTCGAAGGAAAAATCAGGACACTGCATTTTTGAAAGTTAACACAATCACTTTATTTCCCATCAGACTTGAGTTTTGAAATGATAAGAATTGAGAGTTCTCAGTTGAAAGTTGTGGGATGTAGGCAAGCGACGCACAGTGTTTCGACTATATGGAGGCAGTTGGAAATAATAGTAAACCTGCAACAATTTCACTGAAACTTGACATGTGCTCTAGGTTTACTTAGAAATAGGGAATTATGAAATTTGGTAAAGACGGAATGATTGCCACGCCTTCTACTCTTGTGGGCGGAAACATTAAATTTCATCATATTTCGATGAAATTTAGTTTGTGCTCACTTTTTTATTAGAAAAACCTAAATATGAAATATGGGGAAGATTGCATCACTATAACGTCCAAAAATCACAAAAAAATGTGGGCCAGTCGTTAAATGTAATGGAATTTTGGTAAATTTTTTTTCCTGCTTTTCACTCTCAGAAAACAAAGGTTATACTATAAATTGACTTAGGTGTAAATACTCGCTGTTTTCCAATGTTTGGTGAGATTTTTTCATTGTTCGAAAAATTCTTTTCGCGAAATTATGCAAAAAGAGGATGAAAATCAAAAATTTAGAAAATCAAAAATTACATATATTTGCAAAGTCGCGCGCAAATATCAAATTATATATTCTAAAATCACATAAAATTATCTAAAACAATTGTCTAATTTCAAGACCTGACGGACCGGTACTCACACTTTTTTTACTAATAATCTTTAGCATCTACATTTCAAAGCAAATTTTTTGGTAAGAAAATAGGAAGGTACCAAATAAATGATAAATACCTTCACCTGAATATTCCACGATATTTAAATAATGGATTATGGTTGAAAAAGAAACATTTTCTTTAATGGGTTAATCGCCAAAGGCAACTTAACTGATTACTCGGTATCGCGCCGATTCCCGTATTTCTTTGGAAATATATCGTTCGTGAAGAAGGGGAGTGAGTAAATAATGTGAAATGTGGTATTTGTGACTTTTACTTTTCCATCTCTAAGTCCAACTGGTGTTTTTTATCAACTGTCACCATGACTTTTTTGTACCTGCCTCCATATAGTCGAAACACTGTGCGACGCTGTGAAAATCTTTTTCAAGGTCGCCGACAAAAGCTCAACACCTTCTTTAAGTACAATAGGTAGGATGCTAAGGATAAAACTCAGGTCAGCTTTGTAAAAATCAGGATAAATTAATTATCAGTCAGGACACTTTAATTTGGCCCTGAAATCAGGGCATGTCCTGATAAATTAGGACGTCTGGCCACCCTACCAAGCGCAGTGCAGTGAATAGCATCCGGAATGTGCTGAATTGCAAAGCGTCCCTTTGAAGCAGAGCTGAAAACCGGTTTTGAACCGAACCGCCGCTTTTTCGTACTTTAAGCCGAACCACGGACCGAACCATTTTTATTTTGAAATTCCAAAACCGAAGTGAAAACCACTCCAAAATGTGGTTCGGTTCGGTTCAAAATAAAAACTAACTTAAGCATTTTCAAGTTTTTTAGCCCTTATGGTAAAACTGTTTAAATGTTTCTCTTTCATGGGGACTCCGTGAGTCTCACTACGAAGTTAAGAACCTAGACAAGATTTTGAGGGTCGATTCAAAATTCTAAAGCCGAATTTCCACTATGCATTAAAATTACAAAAAAGTTTTCCATTTAAAAAATGCCCTGTAGGAGGGCCAAACTCTGTCATTGCAATTTTCGCCATTTAATGCCTTGTGGAAATCTAGCATAAATATGCAATGTTTGTGTACTCGACTAGACTTACGAATAGTTGAAATCTTAATTTAATACAAATCACTTAAATAATACTATCTTCTGACTCAATTAGGGATACCAGTTGAACAAACAGGGGCCTATTTCATAGAGTGACAGTGATAGTTTTGTAACAGGCAGGCATTTTTCGTATTGTCAATGACAATTAGACAGATTAGTGGTTTTTTTTTGCATAACAATAATTGTCACCACCGCTTCAATCCCATGAGAAATTCCATTGAAAAAGTGACAAATTATCATTGTCATAACAAATTTTTATGTAATTCATATGTTATATTTGCATTTGGATTATTTTAGTTTTAAGAAATATTCAAATTATTGAAAACTGATGAAATGGGCGCAATTACCATATAAACAAATTCTCTTGTGAAAACATTCCAAAGGAGCTATTCAGTTTTGTCGCTATTGTCGCGACAATTTTGTCGTAGTGACAATTGTTAGCACCATTGTCGACAATATTCCAGTATTGTCACTATCGCTTTAAAAAAAAA